TTTTAAAATGAATTGAAATCGAATTAATTGAATTAACTGAAATTTAATCAAAATTCCTTTTGATATTAATTGAAATCGAATTAAAATCACAACTAAAATCCCGTTAGAATCAATCGAAATCCAATTAGAATTCCTTTCAAAATCAATTGAAATCGAATTAAATCCGTTAAAATCAATTGAAATCGAATTAAAATCCTGTCAAAATCAATTGAAATCGAATTAAAATCCCGTTAAAATCCATTGAAAGTCAATTAGAATTCCTTTAAAAATCAATTGAAATTGCACTAAAATCCCGATAAAATCAATCGAAATCGAGTTAAAACACTGTTAAAATCAATTGAATGTTGATTAAAATTCTTTTTAAACTCAATTGAAAACGAACGTTAGAATCAATTGAAGTTTAATTAAAATTCCTTTTTCAAATCAATTGAATTCGAAATAAATTCCGTTAAAATCAATTGAAATTGAAGTATCATACCGTTTCGTTCAGTCGAAATCGAATTTTCTCCTGTTAAAATCAATTGAAATTGAATTACAATTCTTTTAAAAATCAAATGAAATTGATTAAAATCCCGATTAAAATCGAATGAAACTCAATTGAGATCTAATTAAATACGCCTAAAATTGTAATAAACTCAATTAAAATCGCATTCAGTTCTTGTATATCAAATCCTTTATAAGAGAACATATGAAAATCAACCAAAACCTAGGATGTCAAGGGGATCCCTAATTCCTTTGGATTTTAGTTTATGCCCCCCTAATGACTTCTAAAACCCCCCTAATTCATGATGGTCTGGCCCCTTTTAAAATGCTCATGAGGAATTTTTNNGGGTGGGTTTATTAATAGGGGGAAGAGATTACTAGTGTTATTCTTATTCTGTTACTCGTGCAAGCAAACTCTCGCTGTGCATACTCATATTTTCAAGAGTGTATAATACTATCGCACGGGTATAAAACCGCTGAGTACTGTTGAAGGATCAGCCTTCGAGCCCAGAAGAAGCAGAACGTCTGCGTTTGCAGCAGGAGGCCAGAGCGCTGCTGATTGGTGTCATCCGGTGAACAGTCATTGGAGTCTGACACAGTATATTGGGATAATGGATAGTAGACTGGAAACTACTATGTAGGTCTTAGGGGATCAGTATCCTACGATGTTGCATTTTTCTGACTGGCATGCTAACATGACACCAACCCTGGTCCGTTACTGCCAGTATTGGACGTCTCGCTCCTTCAGTAGTCCTGACAATGCTCTTGAACAGGGCCTCTGCTAGCAGTGTTTTTTTCGTGGCTCCCGTACAATCCGAATTTGATTTTAGTTTGAGGACGGAAGCTTCAAACTTTAAGCTCTACATCCTTACACGCTAAAATGAGAACCCTGCAATCCAAAAGCACCCAAAAGCAAGATCCCCAAATCCTACAACTCCAATCGCCTATGCTGAGCCTTCACTCCTGGAACCCTGGGTTATATAGGGGATTATAGGG